AAGGAACTGCAGCCTCTTGGGCAGCTGGCAATGGCGATTTTAGTTCACTGGAAGGGGGAGAGCCTGATTATAATCAATAGCTATCTACCCCCTTTATATAAAAAAAGTGATATTGATAAGAACTGGGTATCCCTTGAGAATTATGTACTAACGATAATTGAAACACACCCTGAAGCGATGATTCTGGTAATGGGGGATCTAAATGCGCGTATGGGACCAGACGATTCCTCCTTAGATGCTAAATACAGGCTGTTCTTTAGAGACCAAACGGTGGGTGCTGACAGCTGGCTCTTACCTAGATCATTCAAAGATATAAAATCCAATTATGCAGGTGCATGCTTGGCGAAGCTAATGTTCAAAACAAATCTCCAAGCTTTAAATGGGTCCACTCCAGACGACTACCCTGGAGGTTTTACTTATATGTCAGGAGTGGCTGCTAGTACACTAGATTATCATCTAGTATGCACATCCTTGTTACCCAAAGTAAAAAGTTTTAAAATCCTGCCATATTTGGACGGAGACCATCTCCCCCTTTCTTTGCAGATATGGGCCACCCCGCAGGTGATAGGACATGTAACCTGTTACTCTTCCCAAAGGGGAGGGCCGGTACATCAAAGACGCTCTGTCAAATGGTCCAGCGAGTTAGCTAACAATTTAAAGGTAACTCTGGCAGCTGAAGATATTCAGAAGTATGCTGCCGCTTTTTTACATGCAAGGCTAAACGAGGATCCGCTGAAACTATACGATGGTCTCATTAAGAATTTTGCTCCCCTCCTGTTTCAGGAGGCAGGTCAGAGAGCCCCCACCCCTCACAAGCTAAAGTCAAAGCCTTGGTACGATAGAGACTGCTTGGAGGCAAAAAGAGTACTTACTCAAGCGTATGCTAACTACATTGGTCGTTACGATACGAGAGAGCTAAGTGCTTACCTAGCCCTACTAGAAAAAAAACGCTTCTATAAAAATTTAATTAAAAGAAAAAAGAAAGATTATGCTAGGGAAGCATGGAGGGCTCTTATCCAAGCTGCTAAGGAAAAGAACTCCGCTTTGTTTTGGAGGTTGGTCTCCATTCGAAAGCAACACAGCACCTCAATAAGGGAAACCTATATTCCTCCTGAAACTTGGATCTCTCATTTTCAAAATTTGTACCATGACACTCCTTCCCCCTGCTCTGTGTCCGCAGTTTTCAGTGACCTGCCAAGCTGGCCTCAAGTATCATCTGAAGAGATCACAGCACTGATAGGCCAACTTAAAAGAGGAAAGGCCCCCGGCCTAGATGGCATCCCCCCTGAATTTCTGAAGGAAAATATAAACTGGTGGGCACCCTTCTTAGCGCACCTATTTACTTACATCGATAGAACAGGGAGGGTCCCAAGTGACTGGGGGGAGGCGGTGGTTGTTCCTTTTTATAAAAAGGGTAATCAAAAGGATCCTGCAAACTACAGGCCTATTAGTCTACTTAGCGTCATTAGCAAATTATATGCCAAACATCTCCTAGAAAAACTGACGCTCTGGCTCGAGCAAGAGGATATAATAATACAGGAGCAAGCTGGGTTTAGGCAGGGTAGGTCAACAATGGATCACTGCCTCCTTTTACAGCATCTGATTGAAAAATATTCTGGCAAGGGCCCTACGTCACTTTATGCTGCCTTTATTGATCTTAAAGCGGCCTTCGATTCCGTTTCTAGATCTATGCTATGGAGTAAACTTGAAGCCTCCTCAATAGATAGGAGACTTCTAGCCCTCATTCGTGCCCTCCACGAACATACATCTTTGAGGGTTAGATATTCCAGGCTGGGGCACTTGACTGATAGAATTCCCACCTTAAAGGGAGTTAGGCAAGGCTGTATGCTAGCTCCTGCTCTATTTAATTTTTACCTCAATGATGTTGTTGGGTACCTAGATGATGCAGATCTTCATCCCCCCAAATTGGCTCAGCGCTCTATCACGATACTGTTATATGCTGATGACGCTGTTATTCTTTCTAGAACCCCAATTGGAATGAGAAGGGCAATTAAGAAGTTCGCTTGCTATTGCAATGAGCAGGAGCTGGATATAAATTATACAAAGACAAAGGTGATGGCCTTTGGCAAGAGACCCAAACTAAGGAAGTGGAGGGTAAATGGGCAGAACCTCGAACAGGTAGCTAGTTTTCGCTATCTGGGCATGATCATCCAAGCCTCTGGATCTAGGACTGCCCATAGCCAGGCAGCTGCTTGCTCGGGTGAAAAATCCTCTCATGGCATTCTTAAGTTTTTTAGCTCCCAAGGGGGCTATTTTGTACCACCAGCTTTAAAACTTTACAAGGCCAAAACACTTGCCCAGATGCTCTACGGAACGCTACTTGGAGCGCCTCCATCTAGCTATGCTCCTTTGGAGCTAGTCCAATCGAAATTTTTGAGAGCAGTGCTCCAAGTTCCGAGATGCGTATCCAACGCAATGGTACGGCTAGAGACTGGCATGCTGAAGGTTGAAGCCATGATTGCCTTATACTCCATCTTCTATTGGCTGAAGATCAATTTGAACCCATGTGGACTAGTGCCCCTGATTCTGTCTGATGCCTTTGAATCTAATTGGCTGATTTCTGTTAAGCGGAAAATCTCGCTCTTGGGGTATTCTCCCTTAGCGCTTTTGGAGATGGGTAGGGACCGAGCTAAGTTAGAAATAAGACAGAGGATCAAGGATACCGAACGTCAATTAGATCTACAGGTGTCCCCAACATTTATAGCGCCAATTAGAATTAAATACATCGTTGCGCAGGCCCCATATCTTAACGTTTTGGAGTCACGTAAACTTAGGAGGGCATATACTCTGGCCAGATGCTCGGCCTTACCCTCTGCAGTTCTTGAGGGTAAATTTAAAAAAATACCCCGAACAGAGAGGCTATGCTTGTGTGCGTTGGGGGAGATTGAATCTCAGGAACATGTGTTCCTAAGATGCCCGGTATTTGAAGAGGCTCGTACTAAACTTATTAATCCCCTTCTGGCAGGCACTTCAGATCAGGACAAGGTGGAGAACTTGTTTCTTAACCTTGAACACACAGCGCTCTATCAGATTGCGAAATTTTGTTCCTTGGTGGTAGAAGCGCATCAGCATGATGGTTGGCACTCGGGTTAGGACTGTTGATTTTAACTCGTACCGTTCCCTTTGGTAATATGTTTTATGCTTTTATACTATACTGTGTTTTATGGCAGCGCACTCTTAGTTTGGTTTTAACAAATGTAAAGTTTATATTGTTAGCACCTTTTACCTTGCTGAATTGTGGAAATTTTACTATTTGGCCATTGTAATTTATTTTTTTCTGGTTTTATATTGCTGGCTAATCGCTGTTACAATAAAATTCATTCATTCAGGGATGGGGTCTGTCCCATGATTCCTTGGCCAGCGGAAGGAGTGCAGATGTCGAGACACAGTGAAGTAGCCATTCAGATTACTTGTCTGGTGCAGAACCTGAGAGCCTTAACAGGGGAGGGTAAGCGGACAAGGTGGGTAAAGGAGGACTCTGAGGCTGTTTCAGAAGATGCTGCTGAATCATTCTTCCCTCCAGAGGATCTGGAAGAGTGCGATTCCCATTCTCTGGAGGTACCCTACGAGGTTGAAAGGTGACACTCCTAGAAAACATTACACTGTATGCTGAGGAGGGCAGTTGTAGTCAGGAGGACTGTGGATACGGAAGGAACCAGAGCGGTGGCTACAGGTGTCCAGACCAGCTGGGTAGTGGAAAAAGAAATGCAGGTGCTTGGGAAGAGCTGCTCTGAGCCCCACATCCTTCAGAGCCAAAGGTGATGGCTCTTGGAGTCACCTGATGCATCTCCTCTTTAATGAGGGGCAGTACGGCCAGGAACGGCTTGATTCTGAGAAGAATGCGACCCCAAGATCCCCACATCTCTTGCAGAGTTAAAAGCCCACCTGCCCTCCAGACTGGATCCTCTGGATCTCCTGCGCTAATCGCACTCCTTTCCTCCAGTAGAAGGTGCTTTAGGCTAATGCATGGTGGAAGAGCCCCTTGTCCTGGCAGACAGAAACGCGTCTGTTAAGGGAACAGACCCAGAGGATCCAATCCCAGTTGTCTGAGGAAGTAACCAGCTGCAGGCCTGAACAACCCGTGCCTTGCCAAGCTGGATGCCGGGGGGCCTGGGGAGCCTCCAGCCAGACGCAATGGTTGAGGGGCGCCCCAGTCAGTCTGCTGTAGCACAACAGAACAGGAGTCCAGCAAAACCCGGTGCTGGAACAAGTTTTGCTCGGTGTCAACCTGCCCCTGAACCCCTGTCTGACGCGACCACGATGGTGGGTGGTGCTGGGTGGGCCAAGTGGGTAGGTGGCAACCAAGGTGATGCTGAGAAGGACAGCAGAGTGCCTCGCCGTGTGTGGTGGGAGATGCAGGCTTTAGGACTAGCCCAAGGCTAAGCGATCTCGACCCTCCCATTCGCTCCAAAGAGCACTCTGGCCAACAGCCAAAACAAAGTGGGTGGGGAGAGCCTCTTCATGACACCATTTGTAGCCCATTCATGAATGCATAAGACAGACACACCTCAATGCTTAAACAGCAAACTCGCTACTCGGAACGGAGCTTCAGCCCAGCCGCCTGTGAGCCAAGTTAAACTGAGATACGGAGCCTCGTCCAGAGTCGGTCAGTGAACTTCACCGCGCAGCCAGGTTTTAACCCGGGTCTCCGTACGCGCCCAACCCAAACACTCAAGCCTGGCAGGCATCAGCACTCAGGGTTCAGCCATCCTGGTGAGCCAGAGAGTGTCCCAGGCTCTCCCCTCTCTCCCCGGGGCTCATTTTCCTCTCTCAGAAGAGCCGCCATTCTCAGACCAGCACTCCCTAGCTTGGTGGCAAATCCTCTTAAGATGTGTGTGCATACTGTGTGTGTGTGTGCATGTGTAAGGAGGGAGGGAGATTTCCTGTGCCTATGAGCTGGTTTAAGATGAAGTCTTGGCAAGAGGTTGCCGCCTCGTTAGTCCTTGCTTTGTCCTGAGCATAAGAAGGCTAAGACTTACCTATTCTGGTAACTGTAGTAGGCGGCATCACGGGGAATGGTACACAGCTGTTTGCCATAGCAGCACAAGGTTTGGGGAGAAAATTCATACTGCAAAAGAGAAAATCCACAAGGAAGCGTTGACTATGATCAAGAATTATATCTGCTTTCACACAAGAACAGCTTCTTGTGTAGCACACACTCCACTAACGGAGGTCCTGAAAGGTAAGAGGTGTCTGCCATCTAAAAATAGATTTAACGCTGAAGCAACTGCAAAATGCACAAAACTCAGAAAATTGAAACGTGTACAGAAAAGCTCTTCAATCTGGATTGTTCCATAAACAGCTTGTTCTTCTTCTTTCTGGGCAGAACAATAGTTCTTTTAGAGTATTAATTACTTAAGTAGCAACTCAAAATATCTCCAGAGCAGCTTTTTTAAACACCAAGAAAACTAAATGTAGAAAACAGTACAGAATACTATCAGCAAAGCTTTTAAACAGGTTTTGAAGGTTAGAAAGTGACACAAACTAAGGAATATACCCACAAAATAAAGGGGGGGAAACCTTTTAAGAATTTTGTTTGTTCAAAAAGAAACAACTTTTACAGCTGTGAAGAAACCACACACACCTTGCGCCCACAACAGTATCCGAGGGACTGCATAACAGGGTCAATTTCTTGTTCGAAGACCTCAGCAAGTTTAGTGCAAAATTTATAGACTCTTGATGTCTTGCGATTATAAAGCCAGGCGTTATTAAACATTAACCAGACATCATCCACGTATTGCCACGGTTCCTGGTATTGTCCTGTATCCAATTTGCGTTTAATTGTGGAAAGATCCATGGGATTCTTCACAATGTCGAAATAATCCTTCAATAATAAAAAAAGAGGAACATTTAATCAGCTAGACGTTTAGATAACAAATGCCTAAACCATTCCAGAGGCTTTATGAGTAGCAGTTATACACGGGAAACATATCTGGGCCTCAAGGCCTCATGAATGCAGGCTACAGGCGGCACTCACCATCTTGATTTCTTCCAAACTTTGATCAATGCTACATAAAAAACCCCTGAATCAGTTAAAAAGTCTGGGAAAGTCTCAGAAGTAAACATCTCTGTGAAGGACCCTCAACCAAAGAAGAGGTGACAGAAAAACTTAGCTGGAAGAAGAAAAGAAAGCAAATATTGAGAAGAATGGAACACACTAAAAAAAATTACTGCAGAGCTGATGAAAGTGCAGAAGAGGGCAACCAAGATGATTAAGGGCTTGCAGCACATTTCCTGTAAGAAAAGACTAAAAGGTTGGGAATGTTTGGTTTTGAAAGAAAAGACGACAAGGGGACACACGATACAGGTTTATACAAGTATGGATGGGGCAGATAAAGTGAAGAGAGTGCCTATTCCATAATACTAGAACTTTTAGAAGTTAAACGGGCAATTAAGTGGCAGGGCGATAGATTGAGGGCAGACAAAGTTCTCAATGAGTGAGTATATTTTGGTATTTCCTGTGTGTGTGGACACAGTGATGGCCACAAGCACAGATGTCTTTAAAAGGGGCTTAGACAGATACCTGGAGGAGAAATCCATCAGTGGCTGGCTACCAGCCATGGTGACTGAGGGACACCTCCACACCCAGAGGCACGAAACTTCTGAACACCGGCGCTCGGCTGCAGCATCCGGGGAAGGTCTTGGCCTCCAGGGGGACACTGGTCTGATTCAGCAGGGCACCTCTTTTGCCACATTCTGAGGCACAGATTCTGCCCCGTCCTCTGGCGGTTCAGATGACTGGAACTGTGTTATCTACGCCTGCTCAAGACATACTGCTTATCTGTTCTGTGTTATGGCCTACAGCTCTTGCTGTCCTGCCAGGGAAGTGCAGCCACCTGTCTTGCTTTAAAAAAAATAACATTCAAGTCGTCGTTTAGAGTTTGCTACAGAAATGTTCTAGATTATCTAATACATCTAGCCAATTTCTTTTATTTCTTTTAGCCTGAGTATAATTGCAATAGCTATTAAATGTGACCTGGCCTTGCACCGCCTGTTCATCTCAACCTAGGGTCATTGCACGTGAGATTCCCTGTTTCCTTGGGACACCGAATGTGAAGTTATGCAGACACTGGTCCTTCTGGAAAACAACTCAAGCACGACTGAAGGCAACAGGTACTAAGGCAATATACAGAAAATCCTCTGCCAAAGCAGTCAGTCCAGCTAAACTATGAAGTTAAGACACTTCACTCAGAACAAGTAGAATTCCATCAGACTTGTATAAGACAATCCTTTCGGAAGAAAGGAGAGATCTAGAAAACTCCGGGCATATTGCCTAAAATAAACTAATAGATGTATTATCCCCCCTGACACTGTTGGTGTTAACACCTTCTGCCAGCCCCAATTTCAGGTTCTGAAATGGAATATCCCATTACGACATCTAAATCTGATAAATCCGCTGCCCTGAGTCCTGCTTGGTGGGGAAAGGAGTGAGATAAAGATCGACTAAATGAAGCCCACAGAACAGATTACTGGTGCATATATTTTGCATAAATATGGCAAGTGAGATAATGGATTCAGCCACAATTTCGGCAACTATATGGTAAGACCTGTCTCTTCCCAAATCCTAAACTTGGCAAAGATTGGCTGCACAGTAGCAGCTACAAATCTATTTCACTCATTTCTATTATATTATTGTTTCTTCTGTAATGTCTTAAATACCTCAGTGCCTATCTGTGGCCCTCCATCCAAAAGAGGCAGGGTTTGTCCCTCATATGAGAGGTGCAAATCACATGCATCGCGATGGCACCAACTCCTGGCTCTTGACCCCGTGCCACTAACACGGGTGCAGATGGCCAAGAGCCTCTGGGTGTGTGTTGCTGGATGCCTTCTTATCAGTGGAGGCCCAGGTCACAAATGTTGCCAGACTGGCGTTCTTCCCACTACACCAGATCAGGCAATGAGCCCCTTTCCTGTCTCACCCCAACCTACCCACAGTAAGCAATGCAACAGTCGCCTCTAGGCTTGACTACTGTAACTTACTCTATGCAGGGCTACCCGTGAGACCGACCTGGAAGTTACAACTGGCCCAGAGTGTAGTGGCCCAGGTCCTTAGGGGGACACCATTAACAGCACACATTCAACCTGTGCTTTGCCAGCCGCACTGGACCTAGACTGAGTACTGAGTCAGAGTCAAGGTTTTGGTTTTGACCTTTAAGGCCCTGAATGGTCAGGGACCAATGTACCTACGGGACCACCTCTCCTGGTATGTCCCCCCACCGAGCGCTGTGCTCAGGAGAGCAAAGTCTGCTGGAGGCCAAAGACTGTCTGCCTGTCCTCAACCAGAGCCAGGACCTTCTTGGCCCCGGGTCTGACTCGGTGGAACTCTCTGCCAAGTGACATCCGTGACCCGTGACAGCAAGGGTCCTATCAGCGATGCCTTGCACTCCCCCCCCCCCGGTTAACGGGGTTCAGAAATTTGTGCCCTCTGGTGCCATACAGGATTCTGTGATATTGTTAGGTTTTTGGTATTTCAGCAGACCTGAATTTTGAAACGTTTCTTGTTTAAATGATTACACGCCACCCCGAGCCCGTTTCTGTGGGGAGGGTGGTGCAGAAGTCCAATTAATAAATTAACAAATAAAATAAGCATCCACTGCTGCCACTCGGTGTGAAGGCAACTTGTGATGAGGCCAAACTGGGACTATCTGCTCCACAGTCTGAACAAAATGAGAGCACCCTTAGAATTTATGAAATGGAGACAACTTTTATCGAAAGATCCACAGGCGCAGGTGGTTTTACTAATAGGCCAAGATCTCCAAGCTTCTGTGTAGCCCCGGATACATGAAACAGGGGAGGGGCGGCTCTCCTCACTTTGGAACCCCTGGCGTGTGCGATACCCTAATTGATACCACAGGCATAAAGGTTCACAACCAAGAGATCAGATCACCAAAATATGCCAATGACATGCGGGTATTCCCTGTGCACCCAAACAATTCTAAGCCCAACATGTATGCAATTAATTGACCAGTTTGGGGAAAACCTCAGGCTACAAGATCAACTGGAAGCAGCCCACAGCCATGCCCACTGGTCTAGCCTCAATCCCTCCTCTAAGGAGGTGCCTGTTCGGTTGAGCCAGTGGCATTCCAGATGATACTGAGGGGTGGTTGATGCCAAAGAACATCAGGGATGCCTCACGTCCGTTCTGGAACACACTGAAGAGGACCCCGAGCAGATGGAAAACCCTGGCGCTAACATGTCTGGGGGGGGGGGGGGGGGGAAAACACGACCCAACAGAGAACTCATCCACGATTAATCTATGGAACCTGGGGGCTTCCAGTTCATTGGCCGCGGATATTTTTTCACTCTGATGAGTCCAGTCATATGGGGGAAAGCAAAATACCATGGTACAGCATACAAGACACTGCAACTCCCAAGAGATCGGAGAGATGTATTCTCCCCAATTTTACAATGGTTTTCTTGCCGCTAAAAAAGAACAGCCTCACTGGGCTAGACTCAAAATTCAGTTTTTGCTACACTAGCTTGGAAAGCCATCTCTACAGGGGATGCAGCCTTTGATTTTTAGGAATGGACCCATATTCCCATGGAGACCATATGTTGTACCAAAGTGCCCCAACCCCTACCCACTTCGAGCAAGGGCAACAGATAGCCTGTCTCCCCTAGACAGCCCATTTCAGGGTCATTCCCCCCCCCCCCGGTTCCCTCTAGGGCATGCTGCCCAGTTTTTACTGCCTGCAGCATTTGCACCCCACTCTTAATTCTACACATAATCCAGAAAATGCTCGGGGGGGGGGACAAAGCAAAGCATAGCCCTGAGGAAACAGTTCAGTGTTTTGGATCTTTTTGGAAGGGAACATCAGCACAAGCCCCTGCCCTCCCTTCCTGATGGGTCAAAGAGGCCCCTCTCCCATTCCATGGAACCTTGAGATAAGGACTAGCCAGGAGGGGGACTCCTGCCAGTTTTCAACTGCAAGCCTGGGAACGCATAGCCTACCCCACACGGCAGCTGTGAGAACCGGAGAACCCCTGGATTCCCCTTCCTGAATGTCCTCATTTGTCTGTCTGCAGGCGCTTAAAAGTGGCTCTAAACCTGGAGGGGCTTCTCCTGGCTAAGCTTCTCCATTCAAACGGCTAACCTCCAGGAAAGGCAGAGGAAAGGAAGGTCCTTTCTCTATCATACACTGAGAGTCACGGACTGTTCTGGGGTGGTCAGTCACAGCCACAAAGAATTAATTATGCAGACCGTGGTAGTTCCAAAGAGCAGAGATGCTAGGGGCTGTGAATAAAGTTTCTTTACAGTCATCAGACCGGATATCCTAAGAAACTTTATAACAGCTTTTAGTAGGAGATCTACAGCTCACATGTGATCATTATATTGTTACTTGCTAGAGGTTCATTTTTGGAAACATATAGTTGAGAAGTACACTTTCTGTTTGTCAGAACAAAGTAAACCAGATTAATTCTAATCCCCAGAAATGATAAGTTTTTAAAAGAATAACTAAGATGTATAAACTGCTATTCATGATTGCATCGACATCGCGGGGGAGCCGCTAGCCTTGGATCCAAACCACGGAAGGCTTTGAAGCCTGGAAACATAGAGGTAGCTCAAATGGAATCCAAACGGCAGGAATGACATCTTCTCTCTCAACCCAACAGCAGGCAGCCAAATTAAAACTAATTCAAGGTTAAACTGTGGCCTCTTCCCTCCTATGGATCAGCCGTTTGGGAGCATTCCAGCTTCCCTTTCCAGCTGGAAAGAATTCAGAAGCAAATCTTCGGAGCCATTTCATGCATCCCTCTCGCTCATGCAGAGGAGTCATGATGGGAATGAGGCATGAAAGAAACCCAGGTAACTCATCAAGCGCAGCAGCATCCCACAGCAAGAAAAGTCCCGCAAAGAAGACACCTCTTCAAAAGAGCCGTCCTGACCTTTCATTCACACTCCTCCTCCATTCATTACCCTGGTTTTGATTTTGACAATGCTCTGATTTCCTCTCCTCTGCTAGCAAATAATTTAGGAAGTTCTCATCACATGGCTGTCTCAGGCAAAGCAGAAACGACTCACCGGGATGCCCAGGAGCTGAGGATCCACAGGCTGCCTGAAAGGCAGAGACTCGGGGTCCTGCCGGTACAGCGCCTCCAGAGTAGGCATGAGAGCCTGACGCAGCTCTTCAGGTTTAAAGACTGTGGGAAATATTCCAGTCAGTTAATGCAAATCTAGATACAGGTCTAGAGTCATTTCCCTATCCCTGAAGCAATGAAGCAGCATGTCTATTAACTCGCAGAATGGCCACAAACTGGCTTTAAAAGAGACTTAGAAAGATCTAGCATGGCTTTTAGCTACAATGGGCAAAAGTGAGATGCCCCAAAGACAGTGACTGCCAGAAGCCAAGGACAAACATCACTCATGCCCACAGCATGCAAAGCATTTGCCTGGCCACCGTCCAAGACAACAAGCTGAACAGCAGAAGCGTCCTTCTGATTGACCAAGGTGCTCCTACACCACGTTAAGAAGGCCAGGGCAGTGAGGAAATGCAACAGAAACAGGAACGCAAGTGCTGCAGACATACTCTTTTTCCTTGGCTGAGAGGGTGACGTGGACTGTGAAGGGGCACCGCTACTGCCGCTGTCATCCTCCTCCTTTATCTCTGGCTTCTTTCCCTCTATTTCCATTGGCTCTGGCTTGATCTCTAGGCCGCTGGTTTCTTCTTTGGCTTGCATGGGCCCCTGTGAGGCCTCCTCCAACTGAAGCAGAAGAGACAAAATGTAATCTCACTTGCAGCATCAACCGACACAGCCTAGCACATTTCCCAGTTAAGAAAGGAAGATACCCCTCGTCATGATGGCTGTATTTGGAAACAAGGTACCTCCGGCTTGGGCTCCATCAGGGCTTCACCACATTCCAGCTCTGTTTTTTCAGCCTTGACCTCTGGCTTCACCTCTTGCACATGTGTGTCCTGCCCAAGCTGCTGGGTGTTGACATCAGCACTGGCAGCAGAGCCCGGTGTCGGCACCCGGTTGTCAATGCTTGCAGCTGCTTGGGACAGCTGGTAAAGAGAAAAAGAGGATACAAAGAACTGACGGTGCATGCTGGCACAGCACACGAGACCCCACGGGCAGCAGGGACCAGTGAGGACGGCGGACAGATGGAAGTTTGGCTTCTGGACAGTCCCTCCCCTTAGACTCAGAAAGGAGTCTGAAAGATTAAAACGGGGAAGATTCAGATTACAAGAAACAAACATGGCCACTCAAGTAGGGAACCCAGACCAATGGCAGTGCCAACTTGGGGTACACGTCTCTGAGTACACCTGGCTCCCTGACATGTTCTCTTTTGGTGTAGGTCACAGATTTTGTCCACCCGGACACCCAGCTCGCCCTCTCTGCCTGCCAGTGTTGAGCTGAGTGCCTGAGCTAAGGTACCAAGAAGGCAGGACTCATGGAGGAAAACTGCACCCCGTTTTGGACTCCTTCAGTGCAAACTGGATCAGAACCAGGGTAGTAACTTGAGAAAAGGCCTTCTCAGTCATGGCACCAAAACTTTGAAACTTGCTCCCCACTGTCAGTCTCCCTCTATTGGTGTCTTTCACCAGCAGGTGGAAGACTTCCTTGTTTCATCTGGCATACACCCCCCAACAAAGGTTATTGTTTGTTTATGTTTATTTGTAAATGGAAATTTAAACAGAAATTATATATGTTTATTTGTAAATGGAAATTTATATTTTTAACTGTATTTTAATTGATTTAATGTTTTATGTCCACCACCTTGTGGACCCTGATTGGGTGGAAAGGCAGCATAAAATGTTTCAGGTTAAACAAACAGATAATAGTGCCACCAACAGCAGATAAGAACAAACTACTGTGAGAGGACAAGCCCTTTTTCTGGCCGAATAGTCACTTTCTTTTGTTTACTACAAAACATATATTAACAATTTAAAAATT